AACGAAAGGAAAAACCATGTGCTCGGAGTTTTAGAATAAATACGAAACCTTGTGTTTAATCTGGTTTCATTTGAGCGTGTAACATAGGCATGCCACGATTTATTCATCTATTTGTTTGACCCCATCGTTGCGCGTCACTATCACAATTTACCTTCCCTCAAGTATATTACTCTCTCTTCTTCTGTAAATTCTCTATCCCGTTGCAATGCCTTGCGAATGGAGGAATCTGACTTTGCAAGAAGAAAATTTGCTTTGAATCTCTTTGTGCAATGAGGAAGCAACCTATTCTCCACTTCCTTGATAACACGGTCTGCTTTAGCAATATTTACACCAGAAACGTCCTTTCTGCAAACGAATGATAAAAAAGGAAAATTAGCTAGCCTAGTTAAACAACTTGAGGTTGGACAATCGAGGCTTGCGTATGAACCTAGAGTACGATCTTTACAATGTCCTCTCCTCGCTTTGGAAACGAGATCATGTTACTTGAAGTGCGTAGAGAGGTTTATAAAATAATTAAATCGGTGATAAATATCGTCCTGTTAACTTTATTGACCTAACTTTTTTGTCTATCGGAACTCATAACCCTGGATCTGGGAACTTTTGACGGACAGAACTTAAATAATGATTAATCATTCTGATGCTCATTCTATTGATGCAGCGCATGCTATGGTTCTCTTGCTGTTGTGCCCAGATGATCTTTACATCTTCGAAAATCTCTTCGATTTCTCGATCTTCTTCGGGTGTTATTCCAATGGCAGCTGATTTGGCTTGGATCAACGCTGCTTTGTTGTACTTGTTGACAGCGGTCTCTTCACCCACGCAAGCAACTTCCAAGCACTGGCCATGAAATAATAAAGACGAAAATAAGAAATATATTCTCATAAGAGTAAGTACAATTTGATGGACTAGAAGTAAATTCATTACTCACTTTAAAAAAATTATTTGATACTGGTTGTGTAGGTTCCACCGCAATTCGTCGATGTTGATAATTATTTTGACCCGTACTAGCCTAGCAGTTAACAATTATCGGGCAAGCTAGAGCAAAATATCGGGATTTTACTTTAGCTGGCAGTTCAATCATTTGTTGAAGGCGAATTCAAAGTCAGATAATCAGTCTGCGAGACACTGACATATCACGATAATTTGACATAACTTGGTAAACACTTGTGTCTTTTTGTGCTTTTTTAAACTTTGATTATTCACAAGGAAGAGAACTCTGCCATTTCTCAAGTATGAGAGTGCGCACAATTACGCAGTTAAAAGAAACACAGAACACATTATACAGGAGCAAATTATCACTAGTGCACAGTTACATGCAGGTAACGTTATGGATTCTTAGCCAATAATGATAAGGAAATATTGTCTGGTTACCAACATCAGCTTTTTTATTCGTTACGGTGGCCAATTTACAATTTCAACTTAGTTGATATAACCAAATAACCTTGTTACACTCACCGACGCAACACCACAGTTTCTTTAGAAACTTTCAGCCTTTATAATTATTTTGCCTAGATACTTTATCTCCAGCTTAAAATTGGGGAAAAGATCAAAAAAAAAAAAGGAAAAAACATTTTCGACGACAAGCGAGTTTCTAAACAACACCGGAGCCCATTACCATGGTTTCCTGATAAACAACCTCGCAGCGAAGAGCGGAGAAGGGTCCGACCCACACACCCACCACCTTAATTATGCGGTTTACAATAGTAAATTCGCTGAACGCAGCGCCAATTTCCCGCACAAAGTTTCAAAGAAATACATGTGAAACGACAGCTGTCTTGCAAAATAAAGAAACGATCATTGAAACATTTAAAAAAATCTATAAAAGGAAACAAAAGAAGGTGAAAGGAAAACTCCAAACTTTTCGAACGAAAAGCTTATTCGAGTACACGTACTGTATCCTGCGGACTTACCATTTTAGTTAGAGCTCAACTGAAAACCGTTGAGCTTAACTGAAAAGCTTTATATGCCTTAAAACACTGTGACTAACCTAACTGGTTTGAGCCAGTTTGTTTGTTACACGACACAACCTGGTTCTAAAAGCCTGAAATCACGCCACCTTGTCATTACAGCGTTCGTACATGTGCAGATGTGTATTCACTTGAGTAACCTTTCCTATGCAAAGTAATTTACCAGCGTGGCTAGGTCCGCTGGTCAATCATTATTTCCATGCATCAAAATGTCCCTTCATTTAGTTGTGTATGAACGTCAGTTATTTGAAATAAAGTGCTATCATACCTCCGTAGAATTTTCCATGTATTCTGCGGAAAGGTCAAAATATTCCGCCTGTCTATGTATGGCAGAGATGATGTAAAATGCTTTCGTCAGTAGGAAAGGCCAATTTCCTGAGTTAAGACGATTGGCACGTGCAGCAACATCTCGGCAAATGGCTAAACAGTCATCCATGTTGTTCTGAGCGAACTGCATTATGGCTTCCTTCAACGAAAAAAGATGAAGAAAATAAAAGAAATATAATCATCTTCATAGCGATGCTAGATAGAAATAAATAATACCAGCAAAGAGCAGCTCAAATAACGACGACAACAGAAACAAAATCAAAGCAACAGTGAAAAAGAGCCTAGTTTTAAAGAGTATAAAAAAAGGACCCACAAGCCAGTACTGAAAACCAGTTAGTCGAGTTCCTCGTCTAAATCCGCGGTTCATAGGTTAAAAGGGCTTAGTGGGGTCCAATTCGGTCCGTAATCAGAGTACTGATATACAAGATCGTACGACCACGAAGTGGGAGTCAGATTTGTCAAGAACTAGTATGATTATAGATTGAATTGGATGGTACATTTCCTGTTACAGAATTTATCATTAAAATTACATGGTCTAAATTGACAATAAGCAAAAATATCTCCGGCAAAGACATTGTCTTATGCAAAAAAAAATTCCACCATTTTAGAGATTTCCTGGTTTTGTAGGGAAGCGGTTGTTGCTATGTTTACTGTAATAAATTCTACGAATTTCGGTGGGTAGACTTAGTGTGATTGGCTGCTTTAACTGTCCAATTACAGGTGTTTGACTATAGGCAACAGTTCAATTGCACTACAGAATAAGTAATGAAACATAAGGAAGTTATTTGAGGAAGTTGTAATGGTAATGATTAAGGTCTGAATATGGCAGAGGTCTGAATATGGCAAATGCCTTAATGATGATTGCTAACGGAGGGGCCTGTCCAAAAACTTCATTTCCGCATCCAGTATTGTGAGCCATTAAATCGTTATGTATCTGGTGGTCCTGGTAGCCTTACCTCTAGGCAAACAGCTAAGTAAAGGTCTTGGTACCTCACAATCCCACCGACACGGTCGGTAAGCTTCTGTTTATCTATCAGAAACTGATTGTACTGACCTGAAATTATAGTTTACCGGAAACAATTAAGTTGAACGTATCGAACGTCGATCTGATATATGAGTAATTTAAACTGTCCTTAACAAAGTGAACTCTCCCGTTTTTCAGTGCACGGGAATTTAATAGCTGTAAGAGAAAACTACACACCGTTATCACCAAGTTTTTGAAAGTGCATTACTACTGTCCTTCCGCTTTGCTTTGACAAAACTCCTAAAATCAAAAGCAAAAGAAAAGTTGATGGAATTGCACATTATTGAAATACGCTTATTTGGCGCGAAGTCACTTTTCTTTCAAATAATCACAAAAAAAAACAGAAAAAGGCCGGCCCTTTACTTAATTTACTGAATGTGAACACAAAAATGTTCCTAGATCTTGCAAGACTTTATTTTTCAGTGAAATTGAGAGTCAACACTTTATGGAGGTAGTAAAATGCGTTAGGTAATACTATAAAAGAGAAGTGAAAATCGCGTGCAAAATCATTTTTTGAACTAAAGATGTGACCGTGGAGTTTTAGAAAACGGTACTCGCGCAAACTCTGACAGAAGTTTATTTTCCCTTTCTTTTCTCCGGAGTTTTCGACCTCTATAATATCGCGGTTCCAATATAATCAACACTAAGTGCTTTTTGAAGGGTCCGTTCAAGCGTTTCTGCCCCTGATGATTGCGGTAATGTGAAACAAAAACTCCGGTTGAGTTTCCAAAATGAAAACATGATTATAAACTTCAGCTTCTGAACGTGGTCTGACATGGACCTCCTCAACTTATAACGGTGAACACTAACTAAAACAAGATAATAAATCAACTGATCTCACTATGTCAAATGAAGAGGGAAAAACAAAACAAAACAAAACAGAGTAACAAAAAAAAATTTTACATATTTGATTGCATGAACTGAGACTTAATATAATTCAGATATAACCCCATAGTAACTACAAAATTTGTACTATATACCTGACATTTTTATTCGATGCAGAGGTTTCTCTACTTCAGTTACAGTTCTTCCACTTTGATAATCCCATAGATTTGTGTCCCTCTCATGTGACTTGATAGTAAATTGAATCATGTCCAACTCTATATCTGTGTGAATATATATATATATATATATAACTAACTGCAGACAGTACTGTTTCGGCCTTCTGGGCCTCATCAGTGCAGTTTTTTTTTATGTTTAAGGTGGACGGCCGGGCCCCCGATGAAGGGCGTGTGCAATGCCCGCCGACCAACAGGACTAATCCCACCCATGGCTTGCGTGCAATGCCTTAGGGTTGGGGTCCACCAGAAACGAGGGTCACCAGACACCAAACTCGCTGGGGAATCGAACCCCACCTCAACAAAAATTAACACACTCACACCAAAAATTGAACACACACACTCGATAACTTAAATAACTTAAACTACTTTTTAGTTTTCATTTTTAGGTTTTAAATTTTTAAACTAATATTAAACTATTTCTTCGGAGTGTACTTTAGCACATGTCTAGGAGGACCATTTTGCGGGTTGAGAACAAAGGCAATTGAACCAGGAGGAACTTGAAGGTGTGATGTTAACCGTAGGAGGTCTACTCTATCACCTGAAAGGCCAGGAGGTGTGGATAGCAATTCGAGAATTTCACTTCTGGACTTGGAAGAAATGACCGACGTAACGGAGGGTGGC